AAAGAAGAAGAAGAAGAAGAAGAAGAAGAAGAAGAAGAAGAAGAAGAAGAAGAAGAAGAAGAAGAAGAAGAAGAAGAAGAAGAAAAAGAAGAGAATAACAACAAAGAAAAAACAGCAACAACAGCAACGACAACAACAACAACAACAAAAATAACAACAACAAGAGCAACAACAACAACAACAAAAGCAACAACAACAACAACAAGCACAACAGCAACAACAACAACAACAAAAACAATAACAACAAAAACAACAAAAATAACAACAACAGCAACAACAAAAACAACAAAAACAACAACAACAAAAACAATAACACCAACAACAACAACAAAAATAACAACAACAAGAAGAAGAATGTCCCTGTTCCTCTGAGAAACACAGATATTTCAGAAAGTACTTACTCCACCATTGGCTGACAGCCTTTGCCGATCAGGTCTTTGACCCATCCTTTTGGTTCTGGGCCCTCGCTGAGGAAAGGGGGTGTTGGAGGGGGAGGATAGAGAAAATAAACTTTTTTGTTGTTGTATTGACACCCACTATCACATACTGTAGATATCTCTTCCTAATGTGAGCGACCCACGAGGCTCGAGTACTTCCTCGTTTCATTTCTTTCCCTCCCTTGAAACTGTTAATAAAACTCCCAAGAAACTGCATTTCTGTTGGTTCTATTTCATTATTGCCCTTCGATTATTGTCCAGAATTCACAGCCATATGTGAGGCAGTGTGGTGAAATTAGGCGCTCGTCAAAATAATGAAATAGAAGAAAAAGGCATTTTTCCACCAGAAGCAAATTTTTTCTCGAATTTTGGGTTTTGGCTCACAACCTTTTATGTCCATTCAAAAACACATTTCCTTGTGGGTTTCACTGAAAAACGCTGATTAAAGGAACAAAAAATGCAGATTTTCAGTTTTCAAGGCCTCTCAAGCTTTGGAAGTCATCGAACTTTGGTGGCCATTTTCTCGTTAATTTTACCTCTGAAACCAGGCGACCCTCACATCCTTCAATGGCGAATATCTAGACTTCTTTCCAAGGTAGATTTGTACTTTTTCCACCCAAAACAAGGCAAATTAAAAAGCTTTAAGCTGACACCATTAACTCAACATGCCCAAACATTGACGAGCGCCTGATCACACGGCGTTGTGACACATATAGATGAGTTAGCCACATAATAATATAGCCTTTTGTAACTCTTATTTTAGTAGTCATCGGCAGGTTTCTATTTTTCAGATCGGACTCATATTTATTGAAGCTGTCTTCAGCTATTGTTTTTTTCCCCTTTTATTTCTATGGAACATTTGACATCGTACGTAAAGGAATATCTTAAATGTTTAAGTTGTTGAACTCGTTTGACCTTTCACCGTTGCAAAAATATGTGATTACAAAAATAATTGTCGGTATATCTGATGTTATTAATATTTTCTCCATTCACTTTGAGACCTCGACTTTCTTCTATGTGTCTAAGGGTTGTTTAATTGTGTAGATTATAGAGTTTGTGGGACATAACACCTGACTAACTCCTCTTTTAAACTGCTCATATTCGCTATACTATCCCTCAATTCTTATAGCAGCGTTTTGGTCCAAGTATAAATTTCTAAAAAATTCGTACATCCTTTTAATTCATGTCCAGCTCTTCAACAATTTTGAATACGTCGTTAGGGCTAATTTCATCAAAAGCCTTTGAATAAAAGAGGACGTATAAATACAGACTTTTCAGTGCTTCAGTACATTTCTTCTTTTACATTGTAAGGGTCAATGCAGCATTTCGGGTACCCTTTTCTTGTCAGGATCAAAGCAAAGCTATGCTCTAGACATCTGTCGTCTTAGACTTTTCTCACTCTTTCCTTAAGTACTCTAAGCAATTTTTTTGGGTGGTAAAATGACTATTGTGGCTTATTGTTTTATGTAACTAACACAATTGTCATAGATAAAAGTTAAGAGCTTCTTTAGTTATTTCGATGACTATTTTTTTTAGATAGACTATCATTCCAACAGGATATTACTAGGCCCTGTAGCTTTTCTTCGTTTCGAGGTCTCTTGACAACACAAGTTATGTCTGGGATATTAGTCCTACGGACACAGACAGATAGATTGATGAATTTATGGAATTGGTTTTGTACAATGTACTACATGAAATGATAAAGACAAGCTTAGCCTGAAGAAAATGGCATTCGTTTAAAATCTACAAATTTGAGGTGTCTATTTTGGGCCGACAACTCCATTCTTGGATTGAGAAAAATAGCTAATTTTGTCTGAACATCTCACATTTAGCATTGTGGATTTTTGTTGACTAGTAGCAGACGGCCAAGTGGCAACGTTGTTTTGGCGCCATGGCGGTAGATCGTCAAGTAGAGAGCGAAGTATCTTGTCTGTATGGTATGTATGTTAGTGTTTAAGCGCCTATAAAATGGCAGCTTTCACTGTATGCTTCCCAGGAAGTTGAGATTGTTTCAGATCTCTATCAGGTCTGCTGGGTAATAATTATCCATTGTAAAGTGCATGGGGTTTACTGCTGAGCGGGAATATGCGCCATACAATTAATGCTATCTATTATAGTCATTGAACGGAAACGTCAAGGTACGAAGTTCTTTGAGTAATACATGCACATATTACCTGAGCTGAGCGAAAGTGCCAGCAACAAGCAGAGCAGAGATCAAGACTGCAAGAACCTTCATGATGACGAGTTCTCAAACGGGACAGGCACAGCCGAAGGTGAAAGAAGAAAGAGCACTCGGGAATGGCAGGGCAGCGAAGTGGAGGTGGTCAGGAGGGGTTAATATACTTATCTGTGCTTCAAGAATGGGGGG